TAAAACTTCTAAAAGACTTGAAGCGAAAGCCTAATAGTGTTGTGAAAAAGTTGTGAAAAGTTTTCAGTTATCTTTGCCGGAAAAAGGAGGGATTTGGATGACATCGAAGCATTTGAATGAACTCTTTTGACATCCAAGCATCTGGCCGCGTGGTGCAATGGATAACGCGTCTGCCTACGGAGCAAGTTTCTCAAAAAGTTTCGACCACGGAAGGATTCAAAACTTCAACTTCGAACTTTCTTCTGCTCCGTAGGCTTCTGCTCCATTGAGCCACGCGGCTAGATGCTTGGATGTTAAAAGAGTTCATTCACTTCCCAAGACAAGACTCTCCCCAAGACAAGGCTCTCCCCAAGGCAAGACTCTCCCCAAGACAAGGCTCTCCCCAAGGCAAGACTCTCCCCAAGACAAGACTCTCCCCAAGACAAAGAAACCCAGTTTTAGCATTTCTGACACCTATCAATTCCTCAGGAATCCTTTTTTCAAGAATCCTTTTTTCAAAAGACATTTATGAAGTCGCAGTCACTATGGCTGCGTGGCGCAATAGATAAAAGCTGCCGTGTTGACGTAATAGAGCAATAGGCGCAATAGAGCTCCCGTTTTAAAAGATTATTACTTTAAAAAGAATCCTGTAACTAGATCCAGATTCGTTTTTAGTCTTAAACAAACTTTTGCGAGCCGGATAAACTTGACGCTGTTGTTGCTTGATCGATCGTGACACCGCCAAATGAAACCGTCACCAAACTGTCTCTAAAATGGAAAGGTTGCATATTTTTTGATTAAACTACACCTGAATCGTGGAGCTGCTGGGATACAAGTGAGCAAGAATTTTCGATCAGCTCCCGCTCGAAATGAGTCTCCATTCTGAAAGAATGTTTACAATAATGTCCATTCTGAAACAATGTTTATCACAATCTAAACATTGTTTAAACTGTGATAAACAAAGTAAACATTTTTATGAAAATTAGTTTGAAAAAGACTTGGAATTGGAGATCATTTAAGCCTAAAAAAACCGAAAAATTTTGACTGCGGACCCGAACCCGAGAGGGTCTGCCTTATACTCTAGCCGACTACCACTAGGCCACCACTGCTGCCTGTCGACGTCTGGGAAATCTGCTTATAAGCTCGAGGGATGATTTTTCAAATGACGAATTTCGGCTAATTTCTTCCCAGTTGCCTTCTAGTAGAGAAAATTCGCTTGACCTGACAGTGCCGCCATAGCTCAGTCGGTTAGAGCATTGGTCTAATAAGCCAAAGGTCGCAGGTTCGACCCCTGCTGGCGGCAAATCGTTTTGCTTTCCAAGATTTTTGGTTTTCAACTGCCAGTGGTAAACTACGGGAATCTTGTCTCTATTTATACAATCTATTCAATGGTCTTAGAGTACAGTAGTCTTAGAGTACAGTAGTCTTAGAGTACAGTAGCCAATAGGTGAGTCGTTTTAGAAAACGCTTAGATGAATAATGATAATGATATCGTTAGCAAACCTGTATAACAATTTCGTTCTCAAGATTCCCATCCGAGTTTCGTCGTGTCTCACAGCCGGCCAGCGGGATCTAGAACGAACTTTTGAACGTCTAATAAAGAATTTACAATGAATAGAATTAATTGAATATAATTTGCTTTTAGATTACCTTTAGAAATCTTTAGAAATCTTTAGATTATCTTTAGATTATCTTTATATCTTTCTTTAGCTAATATAAAATTTACCCTGCTGGCTCTGCTTCAAGTTTTGTTTTAAAAACTAGTAACCTAACCTGGCATTGAAAGCTGTTTACAAATTTTTGTACTCGATTTGATCGTTAGCGGACATTTCCAATTGACAATCCAATTCTTAGCTCAAATATCTTCATGTTAGGCTAGTCTATTTAAATATTCTTGATTTCATTAGATTCACCAAGACTTTCTCTATCGATTGGTATAAAAACTATTGAAATTGGACAGTCTGACTTAAAGAAATTTGAGCTCAAAGTTAGATTGCTAATGGGAAAAAGGTTGGGGATCAAAAGGGGCGCCCTTTTTATCAAATCTCCCAAAATCCGATCTGATACTTTACATCAAGTACATGACAAGACAAAAAAGGAGAAAATCAAAAATCCAAAATCTGAATTCTAAAAATTCTAGGGTGATATCCAGATCAACGAAAAAAAGCGATTTCAATAAAATAGCTCTTCCCAATTCCTTGGAATCATCACGAACTCTTGGCAGTCCATTATCGAGTACAAATATTTGGTGAAAATCAAAAATCTAAAACTTAACAATTCTAGTGTGACATCCAGATAAAAGGAAAAACGCAATTTGAATAAAATAGCTCTTGTCAATTTCTCGGAATCATCACGAACTCTCGACAGAACTAATCTCTAGGCTGCTTGGCCTCAAATTAAGCCTAAATCAGAAAATTGTTTAAATAATTAAACTAAAATCTATAAAAACGAAAAAAAGAAATAGAAACAAAAGAAAAAGGAACATAAAAACAAAATTCAAAAAAACAAAATTCAAAAAAACAAAAAACACAAAAACAAAACTCGAAAACTTTCAAAAAAAAAAAAAAAAAATTTGGCCAGATTTTTTCAGATTTTGCCGAAACTTTTTTTTCTTTTTGCTTATTAAGAAGTCATTTTTTGGTTCTTATAGAATTTCTTTGATTCTTCAAAAAAAATTTTGTTATTAAGGCTTAATTTGAGACCAAGCCGACTACAAAGTAGTTCTACGAAGTTCGTGATGATTCCAAGAAATTGGCAAGAGCTATTTTATTGAAATTGCTTTTTTTCGTTGATCTGGATGTCACACTAGAATTACTTGGATTCAGATTTTTGATTTTCATCAAATATTTGTACTCGATGATGGACCGCTGAGAGTTCGGGGTTATTCCGAAAAATTGGCGAGAGCAATTTGATTTTGATTGCGTTTTTTCTTCTATCTGGATATCACACTAGAATTTCTAGGATTCAGATTTTTGATTTTCACTCAAAAATTTATACTCGATAATGGACTGCCAAGAGTTCGTGATGATTCCGAAGAATTGACAGGAGCTATTTTATAAAAATTGCTTTTTTTCGTTGATCTGGATATCACACTAGAATTTTTAGGTTTTGGATTTTTGATTTTCATCAAACATTTATACTCGATAATGAGCTCCCAAGAGTTCGTGATGATTCCAAGAAATTGGCAAGAGCAATTTTATTGAAATCGCGTTTTTTCTTCTATCTGGATATCACACTAGAATTTCTAGGATTCAGATTTTTGATTTTCACTCAAAAAATTTATACTCGATATATACTCCTAGACAATGGTGTTCTAGGAATTTTCTAGACCAAGCTAAGCCAGGATAGGCTTCTTGTTTGTCTTACGACTAGCTTACAAAAGCTTACACTAGCTTGCAAAAGGTTGTTGAATCATTTACAAGTCAAAGCTTGATCTGGATTTTGATTTGGAGTTGGTTTGGCCTGGTTTGGCCTGGTTTGGCCTAGCTCGCGAGCTCTGGAACCAGATTTATCCATAGCCACTCGAGATTCAAATAGAAATTGAGAAACTTACTTTTTATCTGTTATTCATTTAAATAGTAATTTTTCTTCCTCCTTGAGAATCTGGTGAAATGGGACTGGTTCTTTTTCTTTTCCTTTCACTTTATTTCATTTCCGTCCGACTGCTCATATTATGGCATTTCATAAAGAAAGGGAAAGGATTCTTTTTGAGGAAATTCTTTTATTTTCAAATAGTAGACAGTACCCACCTTCACTTGATAATTCGAGTTCGGTTGTATTGAAGCGTTCACATAGACACAATTGGGACTTCCCTGTTCAGTGTAGATCAAACCATTGAACGTTTCGTTGAAAGCGATTTTCAATAGGAAATCCGACTAAATCTTTGATTTAAAAGGGTTTAATAGTGTGCTAGATGTTTAAATCTCTGATTTAAAGGTTTAATAGTGTGCTGTTTCTTTGAGCTGAAGATCTAATCCCAGATAGATATCTGGGATTAGATTTAGAGCCTAATTGATTTGTTTGGAGCCCAATTGACTCCATTGATTGACTCCATTGATTGACTCCAATTGAAAATTGTAATTTAGGCATAAGTTAAGTATTAGATTGGTTGAAGAAGCCTTGGTTTTAAGAGAATTTGTTCAATTGTTGATTGGAAATCGATTGGAAACTTAGCTGGTTCGTTAGGATGATCTGGATAAGGATAATTAAAGCCAATGACAAGGGTTAGGGCCAGGGTTGGAGCTAGGGTTGGGGCTAGGGTTGGAGCCAGGGTTGGAGCCAGGGTTGGAGCCAGGGTTGGGGCCAGGCTTGGAGCCAGGGTTGGAGCCAGGCTTGGGGACAGGTTGGGGACAGGGTTGGAGCCAGGCTTGGAGCCAGGCTTGGGGCCAGGGTTGGGGACAGGGTTGGAGCCAGGGTTGGAGCCAGGGTTGGAGCCAGGGTTGGAGCCAGGGGTGGAGCCAGGCTTGGAGCCAGGGTTGGAGCCAGGGTTGGAGCCAGGCTTGGGGACAGGGTTGGAGCCAGGCTTGGGGCCAGGCTTGGAGCCAGGGCTTGGGGACAGGGTTGGAGCCAGGGTTGGGGACAGGGTTGGAGCCAGGGTTGGAGCCAAGCTTGGGGCCAGGCTTGGAGCCAGGCTAAAAGTCATGTTAGGTTAGGGTCCAGGGATGCCAGGGTCCATAGTGATTCAGAGGTCCAGGGCCTTAATTCTGGTCCAGGATTAAAGCTTATTGTTTTTGGTTACATTTTCACAAAACTTTCCCAAATTTGATATTGCTTTGGAATCGATTCTTATAAAGTTGAAGAGTAATGACTCTTCTCAAATTTCTCGTTCTCGTTCTCGTTCTCAGTTCTCGAAAGGGATTGACATAGATTCTCTCGAGACTCATCCATTCATCTACTCCCTTATTTAGAGTCACTTTTCGAGGTGACCTTGTAAAGGAGTAAGAAAGAAGAAAGGAGTAAGAAAGAACGGGGAAAGAAATAAGGGAAATGGATGAGATACCCGCTGAATAGCTTGTAATTATTGTGTGAAAGACTGGAAAGTTTTCTTGTTTTCTTCTTTCACAAGAGATCATAAAAATATTGGGATTCTGAACGAGAAATCGATTGTTTATGGGGGTAAAAGAAAGCTGGCTTTTTCCTTTCACGGATTACTGTAGCTTTACAGTTGGGACGGTTACGGTAGCTTGGCGTTTTCTGGAACTCAGAAAAATGCCATACTTCGATCTTACGACTCTTTCTCTGAATCGTGGTCTTTTAAAAGTTCCATGGTCTTTTAAAAGTTTCATCCTCTTTTACTGGTCTCTATACAACAATTTATTTGATCAGAATTTAAAGAACAATCATAAGAACAACATCCCAGCAAAACACAAGGCTTGGCATGCCTCTTGCGTTTCCTCGAACATGCTTGTAAACCTGGCCTTCACATACAGGCGAAAAACGCTGAGGATCCGACTGAAATAGCAAAGATGTTGGCCCTGACAAGCCTGTGATGATTCCTGACAAGCTGCCAGCTAGCTGTCGATTGACGAACAGGCGTCAAGCCATCACTAGTCGCCATCACCACCAAAAGGAAGCCAACATTGAGCTTCAGAGGGCTGACATTGAGCGAAATCACACAGAGTTCCTCGTGGTCTCAACAGGATATTTTCAAGTTGACAAGGATTGGCTTGGCTGGTTAAAGGCCAGGTTTACAAGGATTTGCGTGTCTTGGAACGCAAGACGTGCCAAGCCTTGCGTTCCAAGACAGACATCCTTGGTGTGCTAAGCCTTGCGTTCCAAGACAGACATCCTTGGTGTGCTAAGCCTTGCGTTCCAAGATAGACATTCTTGGCGTGCCAAGCCTTGCGTTCCAAGACAGACATTCTTGGTGTGCTAAGCCTTGCGTTTTGGGATGTTAAACCCCACGAAACAGATCGATTTATAACTAAAAATTTTAAAACCAGGCTTTGCTCTTGGCCTGTCTTTGTCTTTAGTAAAATATTATACTTTTAATGAAAACATTCAACAGAAGCATTCCAAAAATCCTGGAAGCTAGATTCAGTTCTTTTCTAAGCCCTAAGCCTGCTCTGAGCCTAAACTTTTTGTGTTGACTTGTTTCCTGGCCACTAGCTACTCCGGTCAACCAGGGTAAGATTTGGCTTTTTTTTGAAATCTAAGCACATTAATATAACCCACTTTGTCACATGAGATCGATGTGTGCAAAATAGAAGGTAAAGCTGTGTACAGATTCAAATAAGCAACTAGGAGAAGCCAGAGCTGATAATCGGGGAAAAGTCGATTGATCCAGGGAGGCATTTTTAGAGAAATGGAAAGTAGAAATGGCAAGTAGATGAATTAGAAAACTTCTACCGGCAAATGTCTATGAGTTGGGAGGAGAAAGGGAAGAAGGGGAAGAAGGGGAAGAAGGGGAAGAGAGGGGAGGAGGGGAGGAAGAGAAGAAGGGGAAGAGGGGGAAGAAGGGGAAGAAGGGGAAGAAGGGGAAGAAGGGGAAGAAGGGGAAGAAGGAGAAGAAAGAGAAGACAGGGGAAGAAAGAGGAGAAAGAGAAGAAAGAGGAGAAAGAGAAGATAGGGAAGAAGGGGAAGAAGGGAGATGAGTGTCAGTGTTGAGGGAAAGGGAAAGGCGGAGAGTGAAGTGTGTCTACGATATGAGAAGACACCAATGGGTAATTGAGGAGTGGAAAGGAAGGGAAGAAGGAGAAATGGGGGGAGAAAGGCGGGTGAATGGAGTGAATGAATTGAATGAGATCAAGGAGTACTACTTATGACTGTTATAGTTAGACTCCTCAACAAACTAATCAATTGCCTCAAATCGGTCAACCTTGATGCAGAGTACTGTACTGTATATCATGGCTGTGCCTTTGCTTCGTGAAGCCCATTCAGAAAAGGCTTTAGAGCTTAAACCAACCGTATTCATAGAAGCCTCAAATCAAAGCTATAACTATGAACATTCAGTACTGTACTGTACATCAAGTACTGTTCTGTACATTAAGAATACTGTACTGTACCTGAAGAGTACTGTACTGTATCTGAAGAGTACTGTGATGTATTGTATCTGAAGAGTACTGTACTGTACTGTACCTGAAGAGTACTGTACTGTACTGTACCTGAAGAGTACTGTACTTTACCTGAAGAGTACTGTACTGTACCTGAAGAGTACTGTACTGTACTGTACCTGAAGAGTACTGTACTGTACTTTACCTGAAGAGTACTGTACTTTACCTGAAGAGTACTGTACTGTATTGTACCTGAAGAGTACTGTACTGTACCTGAAGAGTACTGTACTGTATCTGAAGAGTACTGTACAGTTTGTCAGTTTGTCTTACGTACACTTAGCCATTATCAAACAATTACTGAACCTAAATTGTATAGAAATAGTATAAAGCCTCTTCTTCATATAAAGAGAATAGATTTTCAATCGTTTATAGATTCAAGAACGATAATCAAAAAGTTAATTAAAGAATATTCTCTTCACGATCTTTAAAGAATTTCTTTTCATTTCTTTTCATAGTTTAGCCTCTCGGTATAATCTCTCGTGTTCCTCAATTGGACGACCGCAAATTCTGAATTTTGAAAAAATGAACAAGAATTACATGAAAAATCACCGAAAAATCGCTGAAACAACGGATTTTGTGCCGACACTCTGCATCATTTTTGTGGTAATCGCTTCACTCAAATCGAAATCAGGAACCCGGTCGAAAAGGCACCTGGGAAATGGAAATTTATCGCTTCAATCGAAAACCAAGAAGTTTACAGCTGAATATCTATTTTATATCATTTAAAAAGGAAAAGAAAGTCCTGTAGCGAGATGTTCTTTGTGTGCGAGTACAATCGTTCGCAATCTGGCACACCGGGGTGTTAGGTGGCTTCCTGATAAACAGCTGGGTGTCCTTTGTGTGCAAGTACAATCGTTCGCAATCTGGCACATGGGAGATGGTGGTCTGGTGATAGGCAGCTGGGCGCCCTTGGTGTGCGAGTACAATCGTTTCAATCTGGCACATCGGGGATAGGTGGGTTGGTGTTCTTTGTGCGCTTGCACAATCGCTCGCAATCTGGCACACGGGGGAGATAGGTGACTTGCTGATAGACAGCTGGGTGTTCTTTGTGCGCTAGCACAATCGCTCGCAATCTGGCACACGGGGGAGATAGGTGACTTGCTGATAGACAGCTGGGTGTTCTTTGTGCGCTAGCACAATCGCTCGCAATCTGGCACCTCTGGGAGATAGATAGGAGCTCCTTTCAGCTCTCCATAACCATGCTGTCCACCAATCTCACCGAACCGCGAGCATCCAGCAAGCAAGCAATCAAGCCAGCCTTCTTCAAGCCTTTTCCGCAACACATTCATGCCTCGATGCCTCGATAGCCGAGTGTATATCGCTTTAGCGCTCTAGCCTTCTGCCTCAAATTTCCTCCCTGGTTCGGATCCACTATCAATCAAAATTTTTATTTTTGTTAGAGACTTGAAAATTACTTTTTTGAATCCTTTCCTGCTCTAGTCATTATCATTTTTTTTTTGCTTTTTTACTTTGCATTCAGTCTCAAATTGCTCAAAAGGCTTCGAAATACAGTGGAACCTCTCTATAACGTAACTCACGGGACGGCTATAGCTTACGTTATATAGAGTGCCGTTTTATATGTCGTAGCCGAAGAAGGATTTCAGCCGAAGAAGTCTCAGACTTCTTCGGCTAGCCGATTAAGTCTCAAATTTTTTCGCTAGCCGATTAAGTCTCAGACTTCTTCGGCTAGCCGATTAAGTCTCAGATTCTCAAAAATGAAATCTTGAGTTATGTATTGACTCAAGTCAGTACCACAAACTCAAGCTCTCTAAAAGGCGCTTAAAAGCTAAAAACGCATTCTAAAGAGTGCGAGAAGATGTGGAAATCATCGATTGGAGTGAATCGATTCGGGGCGCAATCACAGACAATCCAACATTTTTTCCGGAGACAGATGACGAAGAAGATGCTATTGCTATTGCGAAAGAAAAAGAAGAAGGTATTTTAAAAGTTTTTATTTCTTAATTAACTTTTAGTTATTTTAGATTTTGTTCAACGCGACAAAGAAATTTGGCATCATCGCAATGGAGCGGCTCTTCAACAACAGAAACAGGCCGAAAATATGCTCGAAAAATCTAAAAACAGGTTGGTTCGATACTTATTTTAGTTTTGGGTTTATTAATTTTTAAGCTAGTGTTTAGATTTGGTGCTGTTGAGGTCGGACAAACTGTTCGTTTGCCAATCGATGCAGTGGATCGTCCGAAAATCGGCCATTCAACGCTCTTCGGTGTCGTCATGGAAGAAAACCAGGGATTCTATCAAATCGGCACCACCAACGGTATTCTACAGCAAAAGTGAGCGTTATTCCTGCTTTCTAATTAATTTTTCAAAGATTAGACTGACAAGGAATCAATTTGAGCCCGCCAATAATAACTTCCTTTCGTTCGAAGAAGTGCCACAAGTTGAATCAACTTTTCGAGCCGCCGTAGGATCACAATCGCTGACTGGGACTCAAGGTAAACTTTTAAATAGTTCTGTTTTAAGTTTCTTTCAGGTCACAAGCATTGCAACTGCACGAATGGATGTGTGAACGGGCGATGCGCCTGCCGGAAAGCCAACCTGCAATGCAACAGCCGATGCCACAAGAGCAACACCTGCAAGAATAAGTAAATTTCTGTTTGTTTTTATTAATGTTTGTTTTTATTAATGTTTGTTTACTCAATAAAATTTGAAATTTAAAGCCTCAAAATGCAAAAAAAATCAGAGGTGATGAATGCAAAAATAGATCAAAACTAGTAATATTTCCAACTTTGCATAGAGCAAGTGTAACTCAAGATTTCATTTTTGAGAATCTGAGACTTCTTCGGCTAGCCGAAGAAGTCTGAGACTTAATCGGCTAGCCGAAGAAGTCTGAGACTTAATCGGCTAGCCGAAGAAGTCTGAGACTTAATCGGCTAGCCGAAGAAGTCTGAGACTTAATCGGCTAGCGAAAAAATTTGAGACTTAATCGGCTAGCCGAAGAAGTCTGAGACTTCTTCGGCTGAAATCCTTCTTCGGCTACGACATATATAGCTTAACGTCGGCCGGGACCGGTCACGCCTTACGTTATAGAGAGGTTTACGTTATATCGAGGTTCGTTATAGAGAGGTTCGACTGTAGTTCAAATTCAATATATTGATGATATTGATGATTCAAAAATCATCAATTTCATCTTTTTCAGAAAGCTTTTCTCCATTTTAGACTCTTTTATAAACATATTGGATGTAAATTTTGTTGTAAATAGTATAGAAATGTAAATAAATAGCATAAAGAATGGCTATAACAAGAAAGTACGCTTTTTTTTTTCATCAGTAATCTCTAAAAAAGCTCGAATTTTTGAATAATCGACTTAACAAGCTCTTTTTTGAGTTGTTAAGCTGCATTTTTGGCTTATCTTTCGATGCCTATTACACTATTTTATCTAGTAGCTAGAATAGAGAAGAATTTGCTTTGAATTGACGATCCGATGATGAGCTTTCTTCTCAATTCGATCATGAGCTTTGTCCCCAATTTTCTCAGGATCGGTGAATCGAATTGAATTCTTTTTTCTAGCATTTTAAACCCCGAAATCTCCTCTTTAAAGCCAATTTTTGCAATTTTTGAAATTTTTGCTTTTTTTGCTTTTTTTGGATTGTTTTGTTGAAGTTCTAGAAAAAAAAAACCCACATCGCAACGACGACACAAATGAAAGCGGTGAACCCAAAGCAGTGAGCCTCTTTAAACTGAAATTAAACTCAATTTTCACAGCTAAACTAGATGCTGAAGATATTCTAGAGCTTCTAGAGCTATTTATTCTAGCCTATTTAGAGCTATTTAGAGCTATTCTAGCCTATTTAGAGCTATTTAGAGCTATTTAGCTATTTAGAGTCATTTTTCTGCCATATTTAGCTATTTAGCTATTTAGAGTCCTCTATTCCTTTACATTTTCTCTGAATTCTCTGAATTCTCTGAATTCCATTCTCCAATCAATCTCGATTTCGTTTAAAACCCTACATCAAATGAATGCACTGTGTAGACATTGTCCCAAACATAACTCTGATGAAAATCCTTTGTCAAGAAATCGGATAACGGTTGCCAGAAGATCTAGAAAACATTTTGAATTGAGTTTTTTTCAGTTTAAACCTTTTCCACTTCATCCACGTTGAGCGTTGGCGAGAAGTTGGCGTTAGATCTGAAAATCTTTGATGTTCTTTGTGTTAAACTTAAACACAATCTTCTGGCGCTCTCAGTCTCTTCATTTTCTTTACAATTCGTTTCCAGTTTCAACTTTTTCTGGAAAAGACTGGAAAGTCTACATGGGTCAGAAGGCTTTCTTTTACACATTCAGACGATGACAAGTCTACGGTAGCTTTAGAAAGGTTACGGTAGCTTTGGAAAGTACGGTAGCTTTAGAAAGGTAGCTTTAGAAAGGTTACTGTAGCTTTAGAAAGGTTACTGTAGCTTTAGAAAGGTTACTGTAGCTTTAGAAAGGCTACGGTAGCTTTAGAAAGATTACGTTCGCTTTAGAAAGGTTACTGTAGCTTTAGAAAGGTTACGGTAGCTTTAGAAAGATTACTGTAGCTTTAGAAAGCTTATGATAGGTCTAGAAAGGTTACGGTAGCTTTAGAAAGGTTACGGTAGCTTTAGAAAGGTTATGGCAGCTTTAGAAAGCTTATGGCAGCTTTAGAAAGACTATTGTAGCTTTAGAAAGGTTACGGTAACCGTTTTAGAAACAGTTTAGTAAAGGCATAAGGCTTTTTGGCGACAGAGGAAGCCGTGTTGGTGTAGTTCATTGGTAAAGCGTTCCGCTAGTAATCGAGCGTGCTGAGCGAAAGGTGGCGGGTTCGACTCCTCAGGGTGACTATTTTTGGTTTTAAAAGCTTTACCTTGAAGCTGTATGCTTCACCTTAAAGCTGTAAGCTTTGATCGAACTGTTTATTCGAAAAGCTGCCTTAAGCACAAAAAAGTGAACCTTAGCAGTGCAATCGATGGATGAACGAGGACACCAAAACGAGATCGAAATGATGGTAGAGAGCCGATGAAATGATAGTGATCACGGCGGAGGCCTGTTTCCTAGAGATTCCTGTTGCCTAGGGATTTAAATCTTCTATCTAATAGATAGGGAATACTGTAATATTCGTCTAACTCCAGTCTAACTCTAACTACAGCTCCAGTACTGTACCTGACTCAATCTGATAGACTTTGTGCTTGAAAATGCTTCTCTAACGCAAACGCAGCTTCTCTAGCGCACTGAAAATATAAACGCATCCTTTCTGGTGCACTGAAAGACTGCAAAAAGCCGAAAACTTTTACTTAGGGGTTTTCGAGGATGCTGATTTCAAATTTTGCAACTTTAATTAGAGATTTCCTTTGTGAAAATCGAGAGATTCAAAGCGTTTTATCCAATCCACTCAATACCGGTTTAATTACGCAATCCAGCGCTCAACACCCGGCTTAGTATGCCAGATACCACCCGTTCCTATCAGCGACAAAGAAAGGTATGCACAAAGTGACTCTTGAGTACTTTCAGCTACTCTAAACATAACCCTCCTGGCGCACCTCCTGGCGCACCTCCTGGCACACCTCCTGGCACAAATCCTGGCACACCTCCTGGCGCACCTCCTGGCACACCTCCTGGCGCACCTCCTAGCGCATCTCCTGGCGCACCTCCTGGCGCATCTCCTGGCGCACCTCCTGGCGCATCTCCTGGTGCATCTCCTGGCGCATCTCCTGGCGCACCTACTGGCGCATCTCCTGGCGCACCTCCTGGCGCACCTCCTGGCACACCTCCTGGCCATCCTGGCGCACCTCCTGGCGCACACAAAAGACTAATCAAAAAGACTTTCAGTGCACTAGAAATGATGTGTTTAAGCGTTTTTTTTTAAAGACTAAAGCTCAACAGAAAACCAATTAGCGCTCTCGTCAATTAAACGATTTTATGGAGAATTTCTTTTGACAAAAATCTAACAGCTGTACATTTCTGTACAGAGGATTGCTTCTTCTTCTTCTTCTTTTTTGATTTTATTGACCAGCTGCTGTTTCTCATAAAAATTCCCCACATTTTCCTCTTTATTCCGATTGTTTTTGATGAAATTTTTCATGTTTTTCGACTTTTTTTATGGAAATTTTCATGTTTTTCGACTTTTTTATGGAAATTTTTCAATTTTTAGCGATTTTGAGGCTTTTCCCTTTTGATTTATGAGCTTTTGTCTTTGAAAAGATCAAGATTTTCACAGTTTTTCGATTTCTTTTCTATTTGGCTGTATTTTTGGATGAAATTTGATCGAAATTTAGACAAATTTCATTAATTTAGCATTCTTTTGCGTTCTTGAGATCTTTCTTAAGAAAAGAACAGAAAAGATCAAAAATTGTGCACCCCCGGACTCGAACCCCCGTCCTCTCGCTTAGTGGGCAACGGTGCTAACCATTACACCACAAGGCAGCCTGTCGCCATGGCTTCGGAGGGTCTTAAGTATAAAGTCGTGGACAAATTTCCCTTCTCAATCGCCTAATCTCATCTCAATCACTATCTAGTAGAGAAAATTCGCCGGCTTCCACGGTGACCCTATGGCTCAGTCGGTTAGAGCCTTGTCTGTTGAGCAGTCGGTTAAGTCAAAGGCCGCGGGTTCGACCCCATCTGCCGGCAAATTGTTTTTCTTTTAACTTCTTTAACAAAAGAACAATTCGCTTTAATTTCAAAGTTTTCTTTCGTTTTTTTCAAGGATTTCAAAGATTCAAGGAATTCGATTTTAAATCATTCAATGGTTTGACTATGGCTCAGTCGGTTAGAGCCTTGTCTGTTGAGCGGTTGGTTAAGCTAAAGGTGGCAGGTTCGACTCCTCTTTATGGCAGGTCCTCTTTAAAACGATCTCAGTTTTAACGCTAACGAGATTCGAATTTCAAAGAGTTACGCGATTTCAAAGAGTTAAAAAGGGCGGTGAGGGGAAACCTCATAATCTTCTCGCTCGTTTCCCCTCCGCAATTTCTCCCACATTTCTCCCACATTTCCCCCTCATTTCCCCGGTGATGATCCCATTTATTTCCCTATCGATTCCTTCCCTTTTCCCCCCCCATTCTTTTTCCCCCATTCTTATTCTTCCATCCATAAGTAGCCATTGCAATTGAAAGCAAGCAAACACAAGGCTTCTAACGCTCCAATTGCATTCTAAGGCTCCAATTACATTCTAACGATTCTTTACTCAAATAAGGCATTTTTTTCGTTTTTTTTTGCCCTCTAGCTTTACTTTTGAAAATTTTTCTCTTTGAAAGGATTATTTCGCAATCAAATGGGCCTCCTTAACCCAAAATTGCCTAAAAGCCATAGCCGCAGCCTAAATCCTCCATAAATTAACTCTCAAACATCAATTTGACTAATTCTTTTACTATTCTTTCACTATTCGTTCAAGTATTTCTTTTCTTAGAGATTCCAGTGTCTAGAGGTACTTCAAATTTACATAAATTCATTCCAAAGTGCAATTAAATAAAAGTATTAAGCTGAAGGTGAAGGAGTAAGAAAGCTGGAGCTAGAGCTAGAGCTGGAGCTAGAGCTGAAGCTAGAGCTGGAGCTGGAGCTAGAGCTAGAGCTAGAGCTGGAGCTAGAGCTGGAGCTGGAGCTAGAGCTGGAGCTGGAGCTAGAGCTAGAGCTGGAGCTGGAGCTGGAGCTAGAGCTGGAGCTGAAGCTGGAGCTAGAGCTGAAGCTGGAGCTGGAGCTAGAGCTGAAGCTGAAACCGAAGCCTTTATTTAGATGAGTCTATAAAATTAGGAATTCATTGATTCTAGCGGGGTTAATCGATCAATGTCAGTCTATTTTAGACAGTCATGAAGAAATTGATGGATTGATTCATAGGGATCCTGAACTGTATGCCTCTTTGACCCTTTGGCCCGACCCTAAACCTCTTCCTTTTCCCTATCCAGATCGATCTTTAACCAATATGGAGTCCAGGGTTAGACTCTGTGAATTAAGACAATCGAATGAACCTTTATAGGTTCCAGAGTGGATCCTGAGCCTGTTATAAGGTTGAATCGTTCACTGGATTTCTTAATAGACTCTATGGGTTACAGAATGGACCCTGGACCCCCATTTGATTGAATAGCTTGTATAAGATCCAGGATTAACTCTGGGATTGGTACTAGACTGTACGCTTCTCTATAAGGTCGATTTGGAGTGTCCCCTTTTCTATATGCGTGCCTCATTGGCATCAATCGCCCCCCATATCCACCAGCTGTCAAGAATTCTTTGCCTTTCTTTTCGCTCTTTCTTTCTTTCTTTCTTTTTTCCTTTCTTTCTTTCTTTTCCTTCTCATCCCATGAATCGCTTATATCCGGTTTGCCAAATTTGACGCTTTCGATCCATCGATTTTGGTCATTGATTGATTTAATTATTCTGATTCTAGATCTGCAAATTATCTAAAGATTATTAAATGATTTGCGTCTGATAAGCTCCAGTTCCAGCTCCAGCTCCAGCTCCAGCTCCAGCTTCAGCTTTAGCTTCAGCTTTAGCTTCAGCTTTAGCTTCAGCTTTAGCTTCAGCTTTAGCTTCAGCTTTAGCTTCAGCTTTAGCTTCAGCTTTAGCTTCAGCTTCAGATCTAGGTTTACCCAACCCGGCTTAGCTCAATCTGAATCAAGATCGACCATTTCACTCCAATATCCAATATCTCTTTTCATTCATTCGGTTTTTTCTTTTCTTTTTTGAATGTCTTTTTTATATTTTTCAATGTTTTCTATTCATTTTATTCTTTCAATTCTTCTTATTTTTTAAATTCTTCTTATTCCTTCAATTCTTCTTATTCTTTCAATTCTTCTCATTCCTTCAATTCTTTTTATTCTTTCAATTCCTTCAATTCTCTCAATTCTTTCAATTCTTCTTATTCCTTGAATCCTCTCAATCCTCTCACTTCCCTTTTCCCCTCATCGTTCATCCAGCTGGCGCAAACAATTCCACCTTTTTTGCCAAGTCTTTCCAAAAACTTTTCGAGATTTTGTTCTAGTTAATTTTATTTTTACAATTTGAAGTTCTCTACAACTTCTACAGCTCTAAAAGCTTTCCAAAACATTTTGTGCTTTTCATTGATCACTTTTAAAGAGTATTAAAGTATTCAGTGGAAGAAAAATAGGTTTACGATAGCTAAAGATTCTTCAAGTTTCTTTCTTTCTTTCTTAAGTTTCTCCTAAAGCTTTCACGACAAATTCCCAAAGATCTAAACATAAATTTCCTCTTCGCCCACCTCTTCCGCTTCTCTCATGGCTGTTTCTTGTAAATCCGCATCTCCAAACTCCCACATTCCACCCGGAAAACAAACCTAAACTTGAAAATAGAGTTCTCAATTTTTCCTCTTCTATTTTCTTTTCTTTTCTTTTCTTTTCCATTTTCAAACCTCTCCTGGATGTTTCCGTAAATTCATTGATCGAACGCAAAGAAAAACGTCGAGTTTTGGGAGATCGCCTCGTAAGAGAATCAATACAGCTGCATCTAGAATTGAGAAAATTTAAAGGCTGGCCAAGTGGCTTGCGCGCTTTTCTCTAAAGTGAACAGCTGATAGGCGGCAAGTTCGATCCTCGCTCGCGTCCATTTCATAAGAAACGGTTCTTTGCCAGATTGAGTCGGAGGGTTAACCGTTATTAAAATTATTAGCTTTTAAAAGGATAGAAAAGCAATAGAATGCTTGGCTTGGCTTGATTTGTCTTTGCTTGACTTGGCTTTGGCTTTGGCTTGGTTTTCCTTGACTTGACTTGACTTTTGCTTGGCTTGGCTTGGCTTGGTTTGGCTTGGTTTGGTTTGGTTTGGTTTGGTTTGGTTTGACTTTGCTTGGCTTGGCTTTGGCTTTGGCTTGGATTGGCTTGGTTTTCCTTGGCTTGGCTTGGCTTGGTTTTGCTTGGCTTTGGCTTGGTTTGGCTTGGTTTGGTTTTGCTTGGCTTGGCTTGGGTTTACTTGGCTTGGGTTTGCTTGGCTTGGTTTTCCTTGGCTTGGTTTGGCTTTGGCTTTGGATTGGCTTTGGCTTGGATTGGCTTTGGCTTGGCTTGGCTTGGCTTGGCTTGGTTTTGCTTGGGCTTGGTTTAGCTAGCGTTCTAGTCCAAAAGACTCCAATTTCCATCATCCGTAGTTCTCTAGAACAATAGAAAACGACTGATAGCCTATCTTTGCTTGTGTCTGATCGTAAGTAGACCGAAGAATTCTATAATTACAAGTAGATTTGAAGTTAATGACGAAGAGAAGATGTAAATAAACTTCGAAAAGTCCATTCAGCTGAATATGCAGTTTCGTGGGGGATTTCAAAAGGTGTAGCTACGAAAAAATGACAGAAAAGGGGGCGGTTTCATCGCTTTTCCAGGCGTTTGTTTAAATTTTCGCATAAAGCTAAAAGATCTTCAAAAATTCCTCTTAAATAGTGTTGAATTTTCTATAAATCCTCCAATATTTGAAGATTTCACAAACCTTTTTTATCAACAAATTGTGGTGGATCAAAATGAAGGTCAAGACGTTTCTTGATCAATAAAATGGTCTCTTCTTCAAACATCGTCTCTCTTTTCCTTTATAAATTGAATCTTTATTACATAAAATAGATAAAATAGATAAAATAGATAAAATAAATAAAATAAATAAAATATTAAAATATATAGGTCAATATTTAGGTAAATAACTCATTAATAAGTTAATTTTTTGAAAAGTAGAGCTGAAAATTGGACGGTAAAAAGAGAAAGATTGAGAGATTTTTGGGGAATTGTAGTTTGTAGTTTGATTGTAGTTTGATCGGAACAAAGTAAAATTGAAACTTTTGATAAGGGAAATTTTGAATTCTAAATAACTTGGATTATAAATAATAAGATAAAGAAATTAGATAATTAAAGAGTTTTTAAATGTTTTAATTCAAACGTCCGAGGAAGATCCATACCTCTGAGGCAGACCCATACCACTGAGGTGGACTTGGAGGTCTTGGATATCTTGGAGGTAGGGTCTACCTCTGAGGTGGACTTGGAGGTCTTGGATATCTTGGAGGTAGGGTCTACCTCTGAGGTGGACTTGGAGGTCTTGGATATCTTGGAGGTAGGGTCTACCTCTGAGGTAGACTTGGAGGTCTTGGATACCTCCGAGACATTGAAGATTTCAATGCACTAAGATACGTTTCACATTTCATACATCAGAAAGCACAGGCACAGGTGCAGGTACTTCATACAGGTAGACCCATACCTCCGAGGCAGACTAACAGAATTCCTTTTTTCTCCACAGAATTCCTTTTTTTGCTTATAGAATTTATATGAAAAAAAACCTTTCTAAAAGCCTTTTAAAAGATTAAAAATAGAAAGAAAGAAGGATTTGATAAAGATTTGTGTGAAAAATGATCTGTGAAAGCTGAGAAATGTGTGGACATTGAGGATTTCAATGCACTATGATACGTTTCACCGAAGCACATTTCATACAGCAGAAAGATAAGTTTAATTTAAGCACAAGTACACTACACAAGTACACTACACAAGTACACAAGTACAAGTAGACTAGATGGCTGAGAATTTGATGCAGAGACAAGATTTTTCTTAAGAAATTTGATTCACTTGACTTGGGATATTTTTAAAGGTCATATAGGGATTTTGTTATCATTGATTAGCTTAAAGATGCGAAAAAGCGATAGTAGGCATGGATTTTAGAAGAGATAGAGGAAAAGGAAGAGAAAGAGAAAGAGATAGAGGAAGAGAAAGAGATAGAGATAGAGATAGAGAAAGAGATAGAGAAAGAGAAAGAGAGAGAAAAAACGCCTTGGGTCTCGCTAGATTCGTATCATTTATATGGAAAGGGAATGACCTCTGTTTGGGTTAGATCAACTAGAGAGATACCGATGGATCAACCAGAGAATCTTTCTTTCATTTATTTATTTCTTGATTTCCTTCTATCCAATCCAAAACTCAACAACCGACAGATGAAGCTAATAAGTAAGTAATCGTTGGAGTTACCTTCCCGAGTTACTTCTAGAAATTCTTATCGTGCTTACTTTTATTCTAGAAACTTTTATTCTAGAAAGTATTGACTTTTGATGAAACACAATTGCTTCAAAAATTTCTCTCCATCATAGCCAATTTGTTGTGAATTTGATTTCAATACATTCATTCACACAATATATTACTTTTTCTAAGATACTCAAAGTTGAAAGTGATCTGAAAAGCTGATTTGATCTTTTAATATCTAATTAGATTCCTATTGACGTTGTTTTTAATCCACAAACCGCGGAAACGGCACCAGGAAGGACGGCAGCGACGCGCACCACACGGTTTGTGTTTCAGAATGTCGTACAGCACAATTAGTGGGGTGTCATCTCCGGATGCAGCTCTGGTTTTGCTTGTGCACCATCTGGCGCTCGCAGGTAGTTTCCCGGTCGGGATTTCTCTTGCATATGTGGGTGTGGGGCTTAATCCAGGCTGCTACCCGTGTCCGCTCGGTTTCGTTCCCATTGGCGGGGCTGAAAGTTTTGCAGTCCTGCCAGTGTTCCTTTTTCCTGTTTTTGTTCGCCTACAAATTTGTTTTTGTCGTCGGTTTGTGGGGTGCGTTTGTCTCATCAATGTCTATCATTGTCTTCTCTCTTTCTTTTCAACTTACTGCTTCGGGTGAGGGTGGGGCTTTTTCGGGTGGAACTGGCGCAAAAACGGCGCGGAGCACTTTCTAAAGTATGGATACGCTACCGTACCCCACCCAAAAATTCCTTTTTGCCATTTTTTTCATTTTTTTTCTGCATTCCGCCAAATCTCGTCCGGTTTTTTTAGTTTTTCTAGTTTTTTAGATGTTATTGTTTGTTTTTGTTAAGTTTGTTATTGTTTTCTTCTTTTTCTCTTTCTATTTTCCTTTTTCTAGCGCGTTTTAAGGTTATCTTCCCCTTCCCATTATATTCCTCTATAGTTCCTATTTAGTTCCTTTAAAGCTCCTTTAAAGCTCCTTTATAGTTCCTATTTAGTTCCTTTATAGCTCCTTTAAAGCTCATCAACCCATTTTCATTTTCTAAAATCGTTTTTTTCGTTTCTTCGACTTTTGTGACTCCCTTCTACTTCATTTTCTTCGAAATTTCTTTTCATTTTGTCTTTTTGTAGTTTTAATGTCTTTGAAAATAACATTTTAGTCATTGAAACTTAATTTAACCAATTCTCTTTCAACTAAACCGCAGAAAATAAGAGCTAATCAAAAAAAGCGCCGTGTACAAACAGCGCCGGCCAAAATAATGCGTTTGCCGTGATGTTTATTTGTGTTTCTTATTTTCATTAGATGTAGAATGGAAATTAGCTATCTGCTGAATTTTTTGGAGCCGTTTAGAACAAATTTGGGATGAGAAAATGCCAAAAAACGAAAAAGAGGGCTCAAAAAGAGGTTTACTGAGCTTTTCTCGGCACCAATTCCGTTTTAAGTGTTCCCAAAGTATGCAAAATGTAGATAATTTTATTCTGCATCTAATAAGAATAAGAAACACAGAAACTCAGCTGTGGAGGGCCTATTTTTGCTGTGGCACTGTTTTGATTAACTCCCCCATAAAATCTATCAAATCAATCTAGAGTTTTTGATCTAATTATTTTAGAAAAAGAATTGATGAGTAAAGGTTTTTGTTAAATAAGGTTTTAAGTAAGCTTTTAAGTGCTTTAATGGTTACTAACTAGCTGATAATTGATTGAATGCATTAGAAAGGCTGTTTTTTTGCTACTTTTAAGGTTTTCAGCGCAAGCTTTAAAGTAAGATTTTAAGTAAGATTTTAAGTAAGCTTTAAAGTAAGCTTTAAAGTAAGCTTTAAGTAAGCTTTAAGTAAGCTTTAATGGTTACTAACTAGCTGATAATTGATTGAATGCATTAGAAAAGCTGTTTTTTTGCTACTTTTGATCAAAAACTGTATATTCGTGAATAATTTCGTTTTCTTTTTTCTAAAATCTTCAACTAATCTGTTATTTTTCGGTGAATTTTTGAGGGAAACTTTTTGCGATTTGCCATTTGCGAAAGTCCTCATAAATGCATGAGCTTTTGTGCTATTAGAAAAAAAAAGCTTAGAAAAGCTTTTATCTTTTTTTAGCTTAAAACCTTGTCAACGTTTAGATAATCTAGTCTAGATTTATATTATCATATACTGTTCTCAATCTCTAACAATTTCCATGTCATTCTTGTCATTTCAAAGCAAATTTTCCCTTTCCGTTCATTTTTTCAATTCTAGATTTATATTATAATATACTATTCTATTCTATTCTATTCTATTCTATATATACTATTCTCAATCTCCAACAATTTTCATGTCATGCTTGTCATTTCAAAGCAGCTGTTCCCCTTTTCATTCATTTTTTCACTCACTTTGTCACTAATCTCAAGAAAAGCGCCATCTTTTTTTTGAAGGATTAAACATTTTTACGTCAAAGTTTTTAGGTTTAAACGTATAATGATTCTTTTCCGATTGTACTTTTCTATTGTTTTTCTATTCTATTAATTAATTTCTATTCTGATTTTTTTTTCGCTTAAATCTTAGCCTGGCTTTTCTGAGATCACAAAATCTGTGAATCTGACTTTTAAATGGACTTTAGGCTATCAAAAATACTACCGTAGCTGTAACTCTAAACTAAACTAAAGCTGTAACTAGAACTATAACTGGACTAGACTAGATTATAACTAACTTTATAACAAGGCTTGTGTATTTTTTTTCTATGTTCCTTCTATATTTTTGAACGCAAACGCACCCTTTCTACTGCACTCAAATCTTTATTTTTCTTCTTATTGCAGAGAAAATGAACAATTGAGTGCGCTAGAAGAGGTTTGTTTACGAGTTTTTGTGAGATTTCGAATGCAATTTTTGATTCCGATGATTTTCTATCTCAAAAATATCTATCACTTTCTTTTCTCGCTTAATCGATAAACGAAAGTCGATTGTATCGCCAAAACAATGGAAGAAATTCGAGAAATGTTTATATTTTTGAGGAAAAGGGAAAAGCGATGTCTGTATGTATTACAAAGTGTCACTTTCACACATTTTCGAGAAAAGAAAGGAGAAAGAAGACTCCGGAGGGCTCATTTCGTTCAGCGGGACACTCCTGAGCTCCTCCAAGTGTCCGATTCCCCCTGTAGCCCTATTTTCACACCTTTTGAATCAAAGAATGAAAAAACCTTCGACTAATACTTCTACTTATGCATTATGCTTTTAAAATCTAGCAGAGATCGCGTTTCCCCATGCTTTAAAGTGATCTAATTGAAGATTTCGTTTTTTGTTTCTAATTTTTGATCTAATTGCTGACCTTCGTCTTCTTATGCTTCTAATATTTTGTTTTTTGATAAATTGGGAGAAGACAGAATGCTTACTTGCTTTCAAAACAAACTTTTCTATTAAAGTAACTGATTCAGCAAATATTTACCTTTAAACAAACATTCTAATTTAAGAATTAAGTTATTTAACCCATTCGAAACCGCAGCGTTTTTTCTTTTTTTTCATCTACGGACCAAGCCCTTTTTTGACATTTTTGACTCCGAAGCAGTTTATTTATGGTTGGAAAGATGTAAGAGAGTCTCCTACACCAT